TCTCTGCTAGTCATCTGCTTCAGGGCACCGAGACAGTTGTTCTGACAACACCAGAGGCCAGTCTCGAGAGGCTGGTTCCCTTAGTATACTTTTTGGCAGCTTGGAGACACCTTCCAAACATGTCTCAGTGGGTCCTGCATACAGTGGAAAGAGGCTACAGAATCCAGTTCGGTTCTCGTCTGACTCAATTCAATGGGGTACACAGCAGGCTCTGGTGATGGAACAAGAAGTGGCTACCCCTTTGAGGAAGGAGGCTATAGAGCACAACCCTCCACTTGAGAGGAAGTCCGCCTTTTACAGCAGATACTTCATCGTTCCCAAGAAGGATAGGGGGGGTTGCGTCCTATCATAGATCTGCGCCAAGACATTCAGATTCAAGATCCTGACGTTGAAACAGTTCAGTATGGTTCGTCACCATAGATTTGAAGGATGCATACTCCCATATCTCCATCCTTCCCAAACACAGGAAGTTCCTGAGGTTTGCTTTCGGGGGCGAAGCATACCAATACCGGGTTCTTACGTTCGGTCTAGCCCTGGACTTTTACGAAGTGTGTGGTTGCTGCCTTGGCTCCTATCAGACTCCAGGGCATCCATATACTAAATTACATCGACAACTGGCTTATCTTAGCCCAGTCAGAACAGATGGCGGTTCGGCATCGAGATGTCATTCTTGCCGATATGAAAGAGCTAGGGTTGTGGCTGAATGCCAAGAAGAGTGTGCTTTCTCTGGTTCAGAGGACCACCTATCTTGGCGTGGTGTGGGATTTGATGACGATGCAGGCATGTCTGTCTCCAACTCATATTGATTCGATCCTCACAGCCGTGAACAAAGTCAAGCTAGGCCAGTCACTCACTGTAAAGCAGTTTCAGAGTCTGCTGGGTCTGATGGCAGAAGCGTCCAATGTGATATATTTTTTTGCCTGCTGTACATAAGACCCCTGCAGTGGTGGCTCAGGACCAAGGGGTTTTCCCTGAGGGGCAACCCATTTCGCATGATAAAGGTCACGTAGTGCTGCCGTCGTGCCTTAGTCATGTGGAAAATACCTTGGTTCCTGTCTCAGGGACCTGTGTTGGGTGCTCCGTGTCGTCGTGTAACACTTAAGATGGATGCATCCCTCACGGGTTGGGGAGTGATCATGAGTGGTCGCTCAGCCCAGTGTCTGTGGGAAGGCCATCATCTCTCTTGGCACATAAATTGCCTGTAGATGCTGGCAGTGTTTCGGGCTCTAAAACACATCCTCACAGACCTCAGAGGTCATCATGTGTTTGTCCGCTGAGACAACACTTCGGTGGTCTCATATATAAACTGACAGGGGGGTCTGCGGTTGTGTTCACTTTGCAAACTGGAACACCAGATCCTCCTGTGGGGCCAGGGAAGGCTGCTGTCTCTGATGTCATTCTA